TGCCCTTCAGAGATGTCCTGCCGTTCGATGGTAATCAAGAGTCTATAATAGAAATTTTCTAATAGAAATAGAAATAAAGTTGTCTATTATGGACTCTTGATGGTAATGTAACTGCTAAATTACACGTGTTAAATTAAAACCTATGTATATACAGCCGTGGCCATCCCTAGGACCACTAACTAGCATCTCTCCTGTGTCAGTGGCGGGAACCCTTTCTTTACCCAGTGCACTCCTCGTGCATAGTAGATGTAAAATTTTATTTCCCTACTAAGGTTCAGTGGCTTTAATTTCTCCCCTATGCAGCCTGTGTGCATAATTCCACGGCGGACATGGTGCTATTGAGAGTGCGTGCAAATATAATCCAAGGCATCACGCATGCAAAATCCATGGCTCGTCACAAACGCAATATATATATAATATATAAATATATATCGCATGCATCACGCAACATGCGAATACAACCTCCATCACGCATGTATGATGCATTCATATGCATACGAGCACATAACATGGTTGGCTCATCGTGTATGAAGCTCGAACTTATTCTTTGATTAGCGACTGTAGCGGGCTTTAGGAACAATCAGTTTCCTAATTGCGTTTTCTCTTCCATTCCCTTCCAGCGAAGAAACTTGTGAAGGCAATCCACGGGTTTGACGCGCGAACGACAGAGGAGCTAAGCTTCCAGAAGGGCGACAGATTCGAAATACTCGACGACAGGTGAGTGCTTTGTTATTCCGACAACAGGTGGCGCTATTGTCGTTTCTCCTGCCTCACATTTCTGCTCTGCCGCTGTTTTCTTTCTTTTTCGTTATAATTCCTTGCCCCTCCACTCCTAGCAGAGATATGTCACTACGATATGCGCCTGTGTGTGCGTGTGGTTATGTATGTGTGTGTGTGCAGTACATGTCTGCTAACACCGCTCACCGCTGCGCGTAAGACTAGTGGCTGGGAACAGCGGAATCAGCACATCGCTGCCGATAGATGGCGACACGTGGCGCAAAGAGAAAGGCTGCTAATTCAAAACCACTTTCACGAAAGGAGGTCATTGGCGTCCTCTCACTCACTCACGTCTATCCGCCGACGACAACAAAGGCGCCACCTACCCGAGGAAATGCACGCGAAACATGTTGATGATACCCACGAGAGAGTGTGCTAGGACGGAAAAGTAAGAGGAAGTGTAGGACGGAAATAGTGGAGTTCGTTTATATAACAAAAAGATTTTTATTCTAAAGAGACTAGAAGCGAGAGACAGAGGAGACGAAAACAGAGAAGAGAGAGAGAGAAAGAGAGAGAGAGAGAGAGAGAGAGAGAGAGAGAGAGAGAGAGAGAGAGAGAGAGAGAGAGAGAGAGAGAGAGAGAGAGAGAGAGAGAGAGAGAGAGAGAGAGAGAGAGAGAGAGAGAGAGACGTACGTACGTACGTACGTACGTACGTACGTACGTACGTACGTACGTACGTACGTACGTACGTACGTACGTACGTACG